AGAGGAAAATGGCCTGGTACATCCCAGAATCCTCTGTTGTAAGCAAAGCCAAGAGGAAAATGGCCTGGAACATACCAGAAACAAGTGTGGGAATAAGTTAAAAGTTAGAAGTTAGTTAGAAGAATCTCCTAAATGGCATTTTTAAACGATTCAGATCTTATGATGAGTGAAGGGACATATTGCTAAGAACTTAAACCAGTCTAAAGATTTGCCACCAGAATGCTAGTTCTTGCGACATGCATTATTTAGGCTCTTGACTCCTAACTTCAAAATCGTGCTTCAATACTTCAAACATGAAATTAAAATATTTGCTTTTTCAGTTCATTAGTTCTTATATTTGTGATTTAATCACCCCTTGTTACTTGAAAGTGAAGTATCATTGCAGTTTTTTGCTTCATCTCCATTTGAAGGTAGCTAATTCTTAGGGTGGCCCTAATTTCAACTGAACTCCTACAGTGAGACAGCTCTCAGTTCTGAATGTCCAATTTTGCTCTCAGCATTTTTAACCTAATTTCTGAATGTACTCCCTTTAACTGAGGGAGTTATGAGGGTGCTATATTCTCACTGTCAGAATCTATAAATACAGTAATTAAACATTCCTAACCCAACCCATAGTTAAACCTGTTGCTAATAATCCAGTATTCCATGTGTTGTCTCTCTTCTCCATCACCCCAGTTGTCTACTAGTTCCTCAGAGTACCAGCTGTGGTCCCCTGAAGGTGGCCTCACAGCCTGTCTGTTCTGTCCCACAGGGGTGATTCTTCTCCTCTTGGACCGGCTCAGGAAGCTTAAATGGGAGCAGATGTGGAGACTGACAGCAGAGAGGGAGCTGATGAGCATGCTGTCTACTTCCTTGGCTGATCAGGTCTGAATGGACTTCTTTTTTATAGAAATCTTTTTTAGAATGCTCACAGATTTAGGAATATAAGAATATTTACAAACACGAGGAGGCCATTCTACCCAGCTACCTTGTTTGGTGATTAGTAGCTAAGTGATAGAAAATCTGACCCAACCATTTCTTGAAAGAAGCCAAGATAAGACCTTCAACAACATGACATGTTTTATACTCCCAAAATACTTTGGGTAAAGAAATACATACCTCTTGTGGGTTTTAAATGCTCTTTACTGTAAAGTACTGTAGTTTCTACTGGTCCTCTGGTTTAAGTCACTGTTGATTCTGGTGAAGTTCACTCGATTGATTTGGTTAGATTTATTTGGAACATATTTCTCTCATTGTCTGCTTTTTCAAGACTAAGAAGGTTCAGTTCCCTTTGACTGTCAGTGATTTGTCCTTGTGTTTAATGGAAAGCAGTAGAAGCTAAATCAAGATCAAACATAACTGTATATCCTGGGCATGGTAGAAACAATAAATACTGTACATTGGGGAGACTTAAATGCAGTTATTTTCACTTCTGTGTTGGTGTTGAACGTTCCAGAAACCAAGACAATGGTTATAGATTTACAAATCACATTCCTACCTTTTATCCTGCACAGTTGGGTACGAATTGGATAATAAAATTCAGTTATACTGGCTTAATTTTAAGATGACATTTAATTGAACACTTTCATTCATTCAATATTTTAACGCTAGAACCTTCCAGAGAATCACTTTCTGCTTTCTTTTACCATTTGCAGTTCCTTCTCCCCACATACTGTAACTGCTTTCACCTGAGAAATCAAGCATTTATTTTTAAATGCATTTATTATTTGGGGCACAACTTTTAAAAGTGATATTTTCAGTGTATTATTCTATACTTAATGCTTGGTGGCCTTATAATTTTCCAGACTTGCTTCTCATTTGCAAGGAATTTACTCAGAATTAAAATCCATGAAAATGAGAAATGATGAGACATACTGCACACACACAGTTGTCATGCATAGAAAGTAATTTAAAATAAAATATTCTGTATCCTGAGAAAATTGTTTAAAATTACCATACCACACAATAATTTGGCAACATGCCACTGTAATTTAAATAATTTAACTAAGCAAATTGCTAAAAAAGCAATTCAATCATGCACTACTGTCCCCAGTAGCTACTTAAAAGCAGCCCCTTCTGTAAGCAACTAGATCTTAGGACTGTATGCTGAACTGTGATTCTTCATTGATGCTCCACAACGTCTTGTGAGAATGTGCTCTCCTAACTGCAGTTTTCTGTTGAGTTTTACTCATTGCTTTGTGTGCATATTTACATAACGTACAAATATGTCTGTACATTTCCTTATGGAAAGCTTTAACTTTGAACCTGGCAAACCACACAAACAGATACAGGTATACGGCTGCCTGTTATGATTTGAATGGACAGGTACAGCTTCTTTAAAACAACAAATGCAGTATTTATGCCAAGATTCTTTGTTTTACCTTTGCATGCCTTATGGAGGATGAGCTTCTTTTGCATGTGTTTTTTAGAAAATGATACATTACAAGTGTTATACTGTGCCTGTGGTATATCTACACTATTATATGTGTTAACTACTCCTGTTAAGTAGTACTATTAAAAGTACATGAAGTAATTTCCTATTACACATAAAAGTAACAAATTGTAATACATTTCCCTAAGTGGAATTGTGACTGAAATACACATAGGTTTTCTTTCATTTTTGAGTGATTCATACCTAGTTTGATGTGACATTAAACAATTAATCCTCCTGTGTGCCCTGGGTGGAACCTGCCTCTAAATGATCTCTGTTTTTCAGGATATTTTCAATGCAGTGATTAAGCAAAACCCATTTCTGGTGTACCAGCTGCCTTGTTTCTGGAATGTGCAGCTGTCTGACCACACCCGCTCTGAGAAGTGTTATAAAGATGTCTCCGACCTCAAGGTAGGTTATCCCCCCCCCCCACTGAAAACAGAAAGCGAAAACATTTCTGCTTTTCAGCTCTTCATCTCTTACCTTGCAGTTTCGGAGGAAGAGCAGTTCCAGGCCTTTTCTCACTTCAAAACCACTACAGTAACCTTAAGTGGCAAAATCGTGTTACTGCATAACTTATATACTTGATCCGTCAAAGAATTGCAATGTTCTTAAGAGTTTAGAGTGAGAAGCTGTGTCGTTGTGCAGGCTGACAAAGGAATAGCTACAGTAGAAGTTCACTGAAAAGAAAAAAAATGGCATTTGACTCTTTTTCTCTTCAGCATGGAAGGAACCTCTGATTGGCATGACAGCAACTTTGCTAATATGAACAAATATTATTGATGCAGGTTGTTAATGTTGCAGAATTTTAATTTTATATCCTGGGACCCCATTCTTTGTAGTTCAATCTGTCAAACAAGCTATCTTTTATCTCACCTTCTCACTTGAGTCAGTTGAGGTAGCCAAGCCATTGTATTGTAAACTAAAACGAAACCAATTGCAGTTAAATCAGCCGCCTTTGAGCATCAGTAGAGGTGACAGGATATACAGTTCTGTAAGACTACACTAAATGATAAAAACGTGAGAGGAAGAGCTGAAAGGAGAAGTATACACACTCTGAGAGTGTTTCCTCTTTCATGACCAGGACTACAGATCGATAGGTAATTTGAGCACTAAAGAGACTGGCTTTGGACATTCAGTAAGGGACAGTTGCTTTTGTAGCTGTGGAAATAATAAATTTCCATTTTTGGCATCCACCAAGCTATATCTCTCATTTTGTTTAGTGATGCGCTCTTCTGAATATGGAAGATGGTTAATTTAACACATTCAGGGAGTGCTTTGTCTTTTATCGGATTACCTGCGGGTTCCTTCTTTCCCTATGCATTTGAGCATCAGTTAAAGAATGACTTTTAGTTTTCTTTGTCAATAAAGAGCAGTAATTTTATTTTCCTAAGAGATTTGTCAATATCTATATATATACAGTAATAGCAGACAGTAGTGTATGTGCATTGGTGTAAATAGGTATTTTTATTTTGTATGTTTTGGTGCCTTGTTTTCACGTTGTTACAGTTTTGTGTCAGAGAGGGTAAGCTGCTGAAAATTAAATTTGCTTGGCTACCAAGCTAGTGGCAGAAATCGATTTTGATATCAGTTAGATTATTTATATCTTTTAAATCCCCCTTTATGTAATTCTTCACACTCCCATTTTGTGACACTGCTATGTTTGAGTTTTACAGCTCCGTGTCGGTGAATGTCCGTGTTACCGAATCGTTTATTTTGGAGACCCTTTCGTGTGTCCTGACAATAAGATGTTGCTCACTTCCCTTTAGGTGATACACTGGAACTCCCCCAAAAAGCTGCGAGTGAAGAACAAGCATGTGGAGTTCTTCCGCAATCTCTACTTGACCTTCCTGGAGTATGATGGCAATCTGCTGCGCAGGGAGCTTTTCGGCTGCCCCAGTGAAGCTGACCTCAACAGTGAGAATGTAGGTAGTGTGACTATGGGCAGCTTGCAGAGAGAAAACTCTTCATACTAGTTTTTATAGTAATCACGTTGTCCATTGTTGCCTGACTGTTTTAATGACAATGCCCCTGTACCTTTCCTCTCACCCAGCACATATAGTCACAGTATTGCACTAATACACACTGTCGCTCCATCCAACAGTGTTGTGCTCTAGTTTTGTCACACACTTGTCACACAAGATTACTTGTACGGTACTTGCGTCTCTTAGAGTGAGCTGCAAAGTGTACACAACACAACTTTCAGCACTGGCGCTGCTTCTTACAGTATTTCAAACCTTGAACGTCCTGGTAAGTGTCTGCTTTCCATGTGAACTTTACTTTCGGTGTGTATTAGTACATATTATGAAGTGTGTCAATCAGAAGAGGGCTAGACCACTCTGGAGCTGGTAATTAGTTTCTGATACTGTACATAGCCTTCAGCTTTTAATTATCAGATAAACAGCCCTTAGGGGTGTTGTATTACAATTAAACAAACTTAAACTACAAACTAAACATAACTACATGTTACTTCCAATTCTAGGGTTTGGGTCATCTGTACATACTGTACCAAGACTTGGTTAATGAGATGGATTGCTGAAAAACTCACCATGAGACGTGCCAAGTGTTCGTTAGATACATGGAGATGCTTGAGACAGTTGCCTGAGATTCAGTCTCAGTTTTTTGCTACAGCCCAACTGTAGAGATTTTCACTGGCAGCTAAGCATTGAGCTATTTTTTCTTTAGAGAGATTTGTTGCTAAATACAGTACCTGTACTTCAAAACTGTGCTGAGGTTGCAGAGTGTTACTCTGAGTTACCGTGCTTCCTGGCTACATGCCTGACTGCAGTCGGTATCATTTTCACTTATCCATGCACAGCTCATTTCTACATGTAGTACCTTTTGATGATGCAAAAAAATGATCACTTCCTAATATTTCAATATGTAATGAGAAGGGTTTGCCTGATGCTACAAGAGATGTAATTTCTGCTGTTTTGTGCAGTAAGATATACACTGCACCCTACACGTAACACATTGTCTTATTATATTTTACACTGTTCCAAGTTTCCACTAACAAACAATCTGTCATGGATTTTTTTTGCAATCTTCCATCTCAAATATCCTGAAAAGTATTTTTTTTAGCTGGAATACATGTGAAATACAATCGAAAATAAGGTAGCACACGTATAATTTCAAATAAAGGTTTTTACTGGATATGTTAATACCGTATGGTATTTATTTACAAACATACAGCCATCGTCAGACTATAGATTATTACTAGGATTATACTATCAAGTGTATATCGCTTTATTTTGTTGCCTTTAAAACATCTCCTATTTTCATATAGCCTAGCACAAATATGCAATGTGTCTAATGCTATATTTATCATTTTTGATTTTTGTCATACAATTTTTTCAGTAGCAGAAGGTGAGTAATACTAAAGGGAAGATAGGTAATATAGCAAATGTGATTATATATGGATGCAATTTTTACAGGGTGACTATGCTGAACTCCTGTCTGGGAATCAACAGCTGGTCAGCATTTAGGCCTCATATACAGTAATGTTCAAATAGACGTATAGCTGGAGTCGACATTTAATGGTTCTTTTAATCCAAACCCTACACTCACCTGAAATGCACTCTCACATAAATGCCATTTTTACAGTATTTCTGCAGCTGACTGAACATTTACCTAAAGAAGATGCATTGTTGTAGAAGATACATTTCCAAGAGCTTTGTTTGGTTTTTGATTGTTTTAGACTAATATTTTTTGGTCTGAGGAACATTTTCAAATCTGATGACTGGAGGGCTTTAGAAACACATTGCAGAATTGCTGTGTTGAAACCCCAGCTAGGGTTAGGGTTAGCATTGCCACACTACTTAGACAATTTTAACGCTCAGTGCTGGGTTTTTAGTCCCAAGTGAACTTCAGGACAAGTTGTACTTTGCTCCTATATGAAATGTTTTTTTGCCTGCATGTCTTGTGTATTGAACCGTTCAGTAGTTGTATTCCAAAAGTAATTCAGATAAAAAGTTGTAAAAAAACCTGTATTACTGGGTAAACTCTTTTACTTTTGTTATTGTGAAAATGCACTTACCTATACTCACCAGAAATGCACTCACTTCAGTACCATTTTTACTGCATTTTTCAGCTATTTGAAAATTTGCCCAATGAAGATACAGTAAATACGCAGATAATCAGGTCCTTATGCAAAAACATGTCGTAGCAAAGCCGATAATCTGGCGCGACGGCAGTAGTGAAAGATGATACTTGTTACTCAGAAGCGTGGGAAAGCAGGCTGATGGGTGTCAGCTGACATACTGTACAACCCATTCCACACCGAGTGCAAAAACAGATGGCAGAGCTGACCTCTGAGCTCTCTTTCGTCTCGCAGCTGCAGAAGAAGCTGTCCGAGCTGGACGAGGACGACCCGTGCTATGAGTTCCGCCGAGAGCGCTTCACCGTGCACCGCACGCACCTGTGCTTCCTGCACTACGAGTATGAGCCGACCGCTGACAACGCCGACGTCACACTGGTGGCACAGCTCTCCATGGACAGGTAAGAGAACGTACTGTACTTCACAGCCTTGGTGTTCACACGTGGAAAGATAATTACTCTGCTTATTCATAATGTCGCTTAAAAGGGGACCCGCAACGCTATTTTTATGTTTCGGTGTTAAGAAAGAATGGGCATTGACAAGTGCATTTCAAACCACAATTAAAAGGAATATGTCCACAGTAACGTGTAAAACCAACAATTTTCATCACCAAATTGACAAATATCCAGTTATGCACAGCACCATATTCTGCTATTCAGAATGAGGCAAAACAAAACTTCTGGTGCCATAAAGTGGCCCTATGACATTGTAAACAAGCAGGCTAGTCAATACTGTACATCTCCTTCAATCCAATACAAATTTTGCTCTGGAGTCCGAGACAGTTTTACAGACAAATACAACTTACTTCCAACTATCATGTTGGAACATTTCTTTGGTGAAATGTCTGCTGCACAACCTGTACTTATTCGCTCGTACGTTGCATTGCAGGAAGGGCTGCTTCACATTGCAGTTTACGTAAGCTTCTCTTGCCTGTGGTGAGACCAGGGGTTTTTGAGAACATGGCAAATAACAAGTAGTTTCACAGAGTTCACAATTTTGTGTTTAATTTGGAATGTGTTACATTTTGCAAGACCTTCAATTATTTTATTTTGTTACTGAGATTTAATAACTGGTCTGAGAAATCGGGACTGCAGTCCCCTTTAAAGGCATTATAACGAAAATTATAGTATCATCGGGAGGGATGACAACAGCCAGGTTCAGTCGTCCTCAACTGACTGTAATTTGTAATCAATCCTGGCTTCATTTCCTCGCTTAAACATCATAAATCCTGTGCATTATCTCCTCCTCTCCCTCGCATTCTTTTTTCGCATCCCTCCTCCACCCCATCTCCACCTCTACAGCTGCCCCTTGGTTACTCCTCGTTTTACAGGGAGGTTCCAGCCCCCTCGTCCCGTGGCCAGGAGGATAACCCTCAGCCAAGTGGGTTAAGAGAAAATCGGTTAACTTAAAAAACTCAATCAGCCTTTTATATGCCTAATTTGTGGCGGTTGTCATACCTAGTGAATTTATTTGTAAAATGTGGACATTGCCCACTGCATTAGCAAGTTTCAGCTTTTTATTTGAGCAGCTGATTCCATGTCTATGTTTAAGGGATTCCAACAGAATAAAATAACGGGGGGTCTTACTGTCTAATCAGCTTTCCTCAGCAAGAGAAGGAACATTCTGTGCAAATACTGTACGTGGCCAATGAGAATCCAGATATTGTACAAACCTTATCTTGTCTAAATGCTGATCCTTAGTCTGGCTTAGAAGAGATTCTCTTAATAATCTGTTTCCCGGAACGCTTGGTATCTCAGCACCTGAAATAGCTGAATAACGCAAAAGGTTCGATTATAATTTGAATGCTGACATTTGTACTTTCCTTTACTATTGTTGATTCCTTTTTCTATGGTTAGTACAGCAGTTCTGTGACTTGTGTAAGTGACATTGCAAGACTCGAGACAGGGACAATATGAGTCAGTTTAAGAAGCAGCCATTGTGGAAGCAGAGTATAGTGAGAATTTTCCCCGCCAGGGCTTTTTTGCATCCCTGAGCTCTCTGCAGGAGCAGAAGCTCTGACACCAGAGGAGAGCTGCCTCTTGTTGAGCTCCTGAAACAAGCCAGACAAACAAGGCGTCGCCAGCTGTGCAACTGCTGTACATACACAGTTGGGATCATAAGCTACTTTGATCGGATAACATTTTCCAAAACGATGTAAACGTGCCAGTTGCTTTTCCAGACAGGTAACAATATGCGGCAAACAGTTTATACAGTACTTCTTGTATAAGTGGGACAGTTTTTTTTAAAAAAACTAATATAAACTTTGAAGTGAATAAACTGCTGCAGTGAAAACATTGCGTGACCATCCCAAACGTTTGTCTCGAGAAGACCACACAACCTCTGCTGAGAGAAAGTCATGTCTGGAGAAACGGGTGTATTTAATAGCTTGGCGTCCCCTGCATTCCCAGGTGACACAGATGAGACAAAGACAAACACCCTTGTTAAATATAGAGTCCTTGAAAAGGAAGAACTGCTTAAGCAGCGATTATTTTTCAGTTACCTTGTTGACATTAGAAGGAAGGCTTAGTAAATGCACATCTGTTCCACCATTAGCCAAACTCATATTTGTGCGTATACATATGGCTACTTTCCTATTTTTAGTTTGATTTTATATGACATAGTTGAAATTAATAGCCGATAACCTAACTGGTATTCAAGAAAAAAGCCCTACGGTGTTCATTTCTTTACAGTGTAAAACTGTTATACAGTAATATACTAAATACATTATGATAATGTTAATTTTGTATAAAATGATACAATACTGGTAATGAGTTGGTAGTAAGATTAAAATAACGTTTAGTAGCACCTTTCCCCATTGTATATCTAGTCCAAAATGAAAATTTTTAATAAGATATGAGACTCATTAAATCGAGCATATAAGGAGTTAACATTATTACAGTAAACCCTCACTTTTAACAGACTTTGGTATTAACGTTTTTTGTCTGTAAAATCAGAAATACCCACATGCCAGGAAAGTGCACAAATAATAAAACAAGTTTGCAGATAAATACTCAGAAGATCCAAATACTATATATAGTATAATGTTTCCTGTAGTTTAGTTTTGCATTTTATTTTATTTTTGTTAAATTTGCCATTTAACGGACATTTGGCAATAACAGATATACCTTCCCTCAGTAAACTGTGTGTTTACTGTATAGTGGAACCTTTGAAACAAGTCTCGCTCTATTGGCTAAACTCTTTACAAAGTTAATACAGCTGGCTGCTTAACAGTGTTGTGTTTGTTAACACCATCAGGCTCCTACAGTATATGTTGTACAAAAAACAGGTCTTTTCAAAATTCAGATGAGTTAAAGTTCCTGGTTGCTATTGTAATTTCATTTTCAGCTGTGTAGTTTTTGTTTTGTACTGTGATGTGAAATAAATATTTAAATCAGATAATGCAAGGATTGTTGTGGCCTGGATTTTCTGAGGCAGTGAAACTGACATTAGGAAAAAGATCATGAAGGTACTATAGAGGATCATTTTGGTCTCCCAGACTGTAGTCCATCTTTGACAGACTGTGTTTGACTACATTGTTACACTACTGTGTTTGCCAGGTTATAAACTGCTGGCGGTGAGCATACCAGACGGTACCAGGTGCTGATGTCATTCTGATGGCAGGAAGGTGTTGTTCTCTTGATATGTGGGAAATATTAGTTCCTTTCTGTGTTTTGTCTGTAACATTTTCAACAGGCTTGATATTCAACATGTTGTTCAATCAGGTTATATCATTCAACAGGTGCCCAATCAGATTTTGCACAATGTAAAGATTTAGTGCGTATGCTGCAGTCAGTCAAATGTATCGGTCAGTCATGAATGATCAATCAAAATGGTCCCTGAAACATTTAATACAGTACATATCCAAAATCCATATACTTTTTTCTAAAAACAAGCAAAAATAAACAGCAGTAGTTTTACAGTATGTACAATACATTAAGACCATCAGTAGTTCTGATCACTACTGTTTTCCGCAAAACAGTTAACAATGTTTTTGCAAAAGTACTTAAATTAAACACTGGTATTTCCAAATTAGAGATACCCTTTGACATAATCAATATTTTGAAGTTTAGGGTATAAAATATACTTCGTCCCTGCAGATTCTCATTATGTTTTATTTACTCAAATCTCTTACACTTATTCAAACTGCAGTCTAGCCTAAAAAAGATGGGTAACAAACATTCACAAAGCACATATTATGATACAATAAAGCTTATTAAGACAACAAGTGGAATATAGATTTTGCTCCAAAATCCCCAAAATACAGTTGAATTAGATTTGAATGACAACATGCTATTACATACAAGTATACTATGTTATGATTAAATAAGCTTCTTATATTTTAGAATAAATTAAGGAACAATGTAATGGAAGCAGTTTAATAATCTGTAGCATATAAGTGAAGTGTGTTTTGTTACCTTTTGTGACAAAGCTAATTGTTGGATACTTAATAACTTGCTTTATTTCTTTTATATCAACTTTAATATGTAGTACAGGATGGAAAATAAAGTGGGTTAAGTTGATCAATCTTTTAATTGCATTACATTTAACTGTAATAAATAACTATATACAGATTTTTTAAAGCGGTAAGTAACTGTAACCAATTACATTTTTGTGTGGGTAAAATGTAGCTGTAATGGATTACTTTTCCAAAGTCAGGTCCTAGCACTGCACAAACCGTACGCTACCAAGTGTGGGGAAAAAAAAAAGAATAATGCAAATTGTTAGCTTGGAGATATTTAACCGTATCAATGATAACATAATGAATGTACTGTAAATGGAATTTGTGGTTTCTGTGACAATAACAATGAATTCTATTTTTACACACAGTCATTAACACTAGAGTTTAATGCCGACTTCTTCTAAGCAATGCAATTGCTTTTGGCATGCACCAGAAGACAAAAATATAATACTAATGTTAAATTGATTTGGCCGATGAGAGAAAGCGAGAAAGCTATTAAGTTTTTCAAGATGTGCAAAATCTTTGTGTAATATTCTGTCCACACTGTATCATTATATTAACATTTTGTCCCATCATTAATTTCTGGACACTTTTCTTTGATGGATTAGCTCCAAGCAGAATGATCCGTGATCTGCATGAAATGTGCTGTATGTGGGCAAATTGTTACACTTATTGTATTCAGTCACTTTAGACTCGAATACCAGATTAACCAATAAAGTATCTGAGTTCGTTTGAAAGAGTCTTTGAAGTATGTCCCTTATCACACCTGATTTGTGAAAGTTTCAAGTTTTCAGTGCTCTTCAAAATGTAATACTTTGGTTGAAGCTGTAAAATTATTCCTGATCCTTTGCAGCTTTATTCATATATAAAAGTATATAAAGTGAGTTATAGTATATAAAATCAAGTTAAACTTTGGGCTTTGTTTGAGTATTTAATAAGACATATGAAACAGAGAATTATGAGAAAACCTCACCAAATTTAATGACAATTACACAGCTCATTTCAGAGAAATCCTTGGCTTTACAATGTTGAAAATCCACCCATTTGTAACCGCTTCATCCAAGTCAGGGGAGTTGTAGTGGAGCTGGAGGCTATCCTAGCAAGCAATGGGCACAAGGCAGAGGACAGTGTAGACGGCACACCAGACACTGACAAAAACACACAACAGGGCCAGTTTTCCCAGAAGCCAATTAAACGACCAGTATGTTTCTGGACTGTGGGAGGAAACCAGAGCACCTGGAGGAAACCCATGCAAACACGGGGAGAACATACAAACTCCACACAAATAACCCCACAGGTCTGGAATTGAACCCGACTCCAGCACTGCGAGGCAGCAATGCTCACCATTGCACCACAGTGACACCATGTTGAAAATTCTGTTCAGATGAACAATAGGTTTCTTCCCTGCTGAAAAGAGACGAAACAAAAGACATCGTCTGACACCTGAAGAAGGCTCCACAGCCGAAACGTTGTTTCCTTTCTTCTCTTTTCAGCATGGAATAAACCTTTACTTGTTCCTTTTCAGCCTACGCATGCTGACGCAGCTACCCACCTGAACTACTTCATTCCGTTCAGATTTTTAGGTTTTAAGAACGTGATGTTTAGTTTATTTCGATGCCCTTTGATTGTAAAGATGATGTCGGGCAAGGAATAAAAATCCCCAATTTAAGTATGTGGCACTTCCCATATTTAATCAATCTAACAGCACATGTCACGAAGTAAACTCTTTCCTTGTCATGTGGGAGTAAAATTCTGTACCACATTCCTGATGTTTTTTTATTTTGATGAGTGTTCACTTCACTAACTTTTTGGGTGGTTGATGAATGTGAGTTCTGATGATCTACTTACATTATCACTTCATGTTCTAGTCCTTTTTCTCCCCTTCAGCATTGTTTCTCAGTTATATCATACAAATGGCACCTGCCTCAGGTATTCAGGCTCTAGTGGTAAACTGGCCAGGGAAAGTGCTCTTGGGGGAAAGCAGATAAGTGGAATCATATTAAAAGGAAGGTTGCCAGAGCTACTTATTAAAAAATAAAATCACAAATTATATTAACTGTTATACAGTAGGTTAACGTATAGAGTATACAGGTGCACAGCAGCTGTACAGCTGATACTATTTTTCCATATTGTAGACAAAGAAAAGGTGGGGCTCAAGCAGCAGTAGATGGCTTCCGTCAGACATTAAAAAAGAGACATTAAATTGTAAAATCTGCATGTGAGTGCATTGAGTTTAGACAAGGTTTGGAACGGTTCAAATAATAGTTTGGTAGCTTTAAGTCTTTAAGTCTTGACCTGATGGTCAAGTCAGTGCTGAGAAATTAGTCTAACTGCGTTAAAAAAAGTCTTTGTTCATGCCTTTTAGTTTCTTAACAACAGGTGTTATGTTAAAAAGTGTTTTTTGTTCCCTGAAAAGCAAAAAAAAAAAGGAAATTTTCATCATTGTTCATTTTAGAAAGCCTGTTTCCCTTTCTTTCACTGTTATCACACGAACACTTCCAGTGTTGCTAAAGGGAGGAACTGCTCTTGAATGATTGACAGTCGTTAAGGGATCTACATGTGTTCTGTTAGCATGGCCATTCGGGAGCTCATGGACTATTGCCGTTTTGTTTTTCAACCCTCTGCGTTGCCTGTTTCACCAAGAGCCTGTGTGTCTCGGTAAGGTTGCAGATGCTGGAGGCAATCTGCAAGCACTGGGAAGGCCCCATCAGCCTGGCCCTGTACCTCTCTGATGCAGAAGCACAGCAGTTCCTGCGCTACGCACAGGGCTCGGAGGTGCTGATGAGCCGCACCAACGTAGGTTATCACATCGTGTACAAAGAAGGCCAGTTCTACCCCGTCAACCTGCTACGCAACGTGGCCATGAAGCAGGTCAACACGCCGTACATGTTCCTGTCCGACATTGACTTTCTGCCCATGTACGGGCTGTACGAGTACCTCAGGTGAGATGCTTTACCTCGGCCACCTTAGAGCCACCAGACACTAGCTTCAGTAAGACCCAGAGCAGTTCACCACTAAAGCTCAACCATCGTCCAGGGAGCAAAGACATTCTGCAGGTTACCATGGACTGATGCAGATTTCCCATACGCTCTGTACTTTAGACTGTTAAATAAAAAAGACTAAAACTTTTCTCTCCTTCAGCTGCCAGCCATTCTGCTATTAAAATTTACCTCTGTTCCTTTTTTTTTCTAAGATCATCACTGCTTAGTTGTATTTTTATACCCTTACCATATTTGTTAGGTAAATTGGCAGAGAAACGTTTTGTAAATGATATTTGAAATGTCAGGTTATCAAGATGCAATTGGTAAAAATGCCTTTCAGCAATAATTGCATATGATTTAATATGTTAAAATCTATTGTAGTGTAGTGGAAGATGAACATCTCTTTTCTTTCCAACTCCTTTCAGTTTACCGGGGAGATCAGGAATTATTTGCCACGTTCTGCTGACTCGCCTTCTCCTGATTTCTGTGTTCCTCTCGGCAGGAAATCGATAGTGCAGCTGGACATGGCCAACACCAAGAAAGCTCTCATCGTGCCAGCGTTCGAGACTCTGCGCTACCGTCTCTCCTTTCCCAAGTCCAAGGCTGAGCTGTTGTCTCAGCTGGACATGGGCACTCTCTTCACTTTCAGGCACGTGTGTTACCTGGTGCACCGGTGTCCCAGTTACAACAATTTAAAGTGGAAGGACTGGAATTTGCTCGCTGGTGGGGTTATAATGTCACGACTATGATGCTACACTATACTGCCATCAGTTCTGTTTAAATAGTGATAAAAAGGTTTTAGAACAGTCATCTGCACTCAATACTGTACTCAAATGTATTGGGTTCACCCGTCTGTAGTCACATTTATTTATTTTTTCCACATACTGTACAGTAGAGCTTCAGCAGATCTCCAAGTGCACAAATCCCAGCGGGTTGCTTGTGATGTTCTGGTTTTCCTGTATACCCCAGGTACCATGTGTGGACAAAAGGCCATGCTCCTACAAACTTTGCCAAGTGGCGTACGGCCACAACACCTTACCGGGTGCAGTGGGAGGCTGATTTTGAGCCATACGTGGTGGTGCGACGGGACTGCCCCGAGTACGACCGCAGGTTTGTGGGCTTTGGCTGGAACAAAGTGGCTCATATCATGGAGCTCGATGCACAGGTAGCGTCTTAATTTCCTATGAATCCTGCCGTCGTTAAAAGTGTAACCTATTTTATCCGTCGTAAATACAGTATAAGCCTTTGCCAATTTGGAACTGCAGTTCTTAGCCAGTTGGGCTTACCACTGCAGTCCCTGTACCACAAGGGCGTAATAGGAGCTATACGCACACATCCTTCCAAAACACCCATCTAGCAGAGCTGGAGTTTGGCATTCTTACAGGAGAGTTAGCGCTGATCAGAGGAGAAGCATTTTTGTCAGTGACACTACTGCATATTTGTAGGCACCTAGCAGCTGTTGTTCAGCCAGCTAAAGAAAGCCTGACTGACTCGAGCCCACCAACTCCAGGGGTAATCAGCACATTGTAAGGCACCATGGAGGAATCATGGTCACAGCTGGCTAACGGCACATCTGGCTAGGGGCTTGTTCTGTGGTACAGGCCAGCAACTGGTTCAGTCGTTGGGGGGTCTATTTTTCTAATTAGCTCTCAAGCTGCAATAAGAAAATTGTGCTTGACCAATTCAATGGAATTTCCCGATTGTGTGGTACTGTACCTGTTGACATGCTGACATGGTTCTCTGTCTGGAGAAGGCGGCGGAGGGAGCTTATCCAGGACCAGTTACCATGCTGCGAGCTACACTTGTCTGATTCCTCTTCTTTGCCTGCAGGAGTACGAGTTTGTGGTCTTGCCCAACGCCTACATGATCCACATGCCCCACGCCCCCAGCTTCGACATCACTAAATTCCGCTCCAACAAGCAGTATCGCGTCTGCCTCAAGACTCTGAAAGAAGAATTCCAGCAGAACATGTCCCGCCGCTACGGCTTTGCCGCTCTGAAGTACATGACTGCTGACAACAACAGCTAGCCGCCCCACCCGGGACGGCCGGCGCACTGCCCTCCAGCTCTTCCTGAAGAGCCAGTGGCGAGGAGGCCGCCAGACGCCAGCGAATCGCGTTTCCCAACACCCCAGGCCCTGGGGTGCTGGGTACCAGAGACACAGCCGGGAAACAGGGGGTCTCTCAGTTAATCTCGCGGCTCCTTCGGCCCTCCACTCGCAGGGCTGTGAAGACAGAAAAACAATTATTTTTTTTCTCTCTGTGTGCTCAAATATTTTTTTTTCTGTGTGTCTGGTAAAAAAAAAAAACAACAAACTGTCTGGAAGAACAAAGCTCATTCTTGGTATCAAGACCTGTGCTGTGGAAGAAATGCTAGCTAGCAACAAAAAAAAGAGGCCAGTTAGTGTTCTTTTAAGATCTAGTTGAAATTCTGGAGACATAATGGAGTTCTTATTTTGTGTGCTCCTGTCGCCCCAGGTTTCAGGAGAGAATGCAACGTGGTGGATGTTCTCTTTGTGAGAAAATAAATACGATTCAGCACCCCCCAGCAACCTGCCATCCCCACAAAACATAAAGCCAACAAAACAGCTAATGGTATGTGATTGCCATTACCTGCTTACCTGAAACCAGACCTCTCATCCCTCTGGGAATGAAATGCCGCGTCCAGCTGTATTGAACAGGTTTTTTCTGCTTTCTTTCACTTGTCAAGGGTGTTTGTGCCAATAGTAAAACCTACACAAAGATGTGGCTGCATAGAAAAAGAAGGTAATCACTTTGCTATCAGAATAATTCAGTGATATTCAAAGGTTTCAAAGGAAGATATCCTTCAGTGCGTTTACATGTAAAGCCTATTCAGAATATGCAGCTATTTCAGTGTGAATAGTAATTTCTTTTGCATCTAGAGCGTGTAGAGCACGTTTCATTCCTGAAGGTTCCCAGTGCACTCACGTTGGTGCATTTACACACAAACAGACCCACCAGTATGTACAGTACCTGTAGCCCCACTTTACTACAGTTCAGGCAAGCCAGTGACACAACTGACTTAAGCAGAAACTTTAGGAAGCTCAGATTGTACAAGTCCAGAGCGGGATTTAGCCAGAACATTTCTACGCTTCTGAAAAGTGCCATGTTCGTGACCAGGAAGTCCGAGCCTCTGTTTAACCTCCCGTCTGAAGTATAGAACATCCTACAGCAGTGCTCCTAGCCACCGTTCTGGGGCGGATGGGAGGTTTGGGATTAGGAAAAGAGCGCCACCTACGGGTTCATCAGCACCATGTACGGCAGCAGCCTGATTTTTCCATCGCTGTGCTGACCAGTCCCCACCTGGCTTGGCTTCTGAGATCTGACTAGATCAGACTACAAGCTGCTATCAGTGCTGCAACAGTGCAGTAGATCTGTTAGCAGTGTTGCATTGTAAACTTTTCAGTTTGTCCTGGTTTCAATTAGGTAAAAATGAGAGATTCAAACCATTCTGAGATTTCACATCAGAAAAAGAGCAATACACTTCAGTTTCCAATGATGAACTACATTGCATATGTGAAGGGATTTATTGCATTTTTTGCAAGTTGACCCTATTTCCATTTAAATAAGTTGTTGGATTTTTTTGCTCTTTCACATTTGCACCATTTAATTTGTTGCAGTACGTTCATTGTGATTTTAAGTGAATTTTAGTGACCAAGATTTATATCCAAAAACAGTAAAACACTCGATGGATTATATTGCTCTAATATCCATAGGTTTTTAGATGTATCATTGCACAATATGTACACGTACTTTGTATTTATGAATGCAACATTCCACTTTCTACCTGACACTTCAGATATATTTCGAGGGTATGAATATCATAAAACAAACCTACTGAAAACATACCACTACAGTAAAATGTCCGTTTGCATTTTTTAACAGGGAGAATATTTGCATATGGAATTTTGAACACGTCTGTAAAAAAATATTGAATATACAGATCTTCCGAGTAACATTTTCGGAATAATTTGAAAAACAATTGCCTTTCATGTAAACGTACTGTATGTGATGGGCAAAATTATTTTTTACTTGAATATTGCAAAAACAAACGTACAGGCCTTTAAAGAGCCATGCAAATTCACTTATCGACTGAAATAAAACTTAAGATAGCTCGCGCAGGGCTTACCGTCAGGACGTAAGGAATGTTACATCAGGACACGAAACTGTCCGAATGTGGCAGAATGCCTGAATGTATTAAAGCTCTTATTTGCTGGTCAGAGCATGTAAAGCTGCCATTTAGAGTGATAAGGAACTTACTTGGGAGCTGGACACGCAACATGTTTTAGGCTTAGACTGCACAATGCCAGGTTTCTCGGTCCTAGATTAGCCTTTGGCCGGTTCCGATTACTGACCGGCTGCTTCTGTTGGATTCTCTTTCCTTCCCGCTCAAGTCAGGTGTCCAGTCACAAGTGTTTCGGGGAATTGAGCGGTTTGGTGGCGAGTTTCTTGGCTGCCTCCCTCTCCTCCTGAGGCATTCCCCTGGCTTGTGTCAAGCAGTGTTGCTGTTGTTTCATTGACTACTCTTCCTCTAAAAAAAAATGGCACGTGCTTTGTGTTGGAATTTCCTTTACAAAACGTTTTTTTTTTTCCCTGAAGCAAAATAAGGACATTAATACTCATTTCTTTCTTATTTGTTGGTATTACTTATGTGTTTACAGTTCTCTTGCTAAAAAAAAAACGTCTAAAATGCACTACCCAGACGTGGAAAAAGGGGAACGGCATCTGAACATGTCAAAAGGGAATATAAAAGGAGTTGTTCGTCCTTTTCCTGGTCTCTACTGGTCAGGCCTTTGACTGTCAGTCAGTAGCTGGAGTTTTACGTGGCCCTGCTGACTGGCCCAGCACTGGTTGACACTGCCAAACTTGCACATTGCAGCTCTGAATGAGACCTACTGTAGGTTTAGTTTGTGGGGAGGTCTGGGTGAGTGGGGGCGCGGGTGTAAATGCATGTGTGGCAGTGCGAATGTGGGTTCGAGTCTTTGCGAGGTTTAAGGAGGATCTGAATGTGTCAATGTTTAGGACAGTGTTAATAGATATGCTGCTACCTAAATATGAATAAAGAGTGGAATCAAGCACTTGCATTGTGTTCACTGCTTTCTTAACTCTTCCGTGCATTGCTCCTGATAACCCTGAGGAGATTTTGTTTTCAGATAGCTTTTGCTGGTTTGAAGGGCTCTTAAAAGGGTAAAGCCCCAAGTTATTTTTAAGAGCAAAATTGAAGAAGCTTCTTCTTGTTCCAAATGAGCGAACATCATGCAACAGCAACTTGCTCTCCTGTGAAAATCACAAGAATGAATGTCTTTTTTTATTTTGAGAAATAAACATGTAAAGTGCAAAACGAAACGATTGGTAATGCTCCAATTGATGTTATTTGTATTGCATGGGAACAAAATTACCCAGATACTGTACATAAATATACAAAAATGACAGCAAGTGGTATAATTTGAAAAACCATTAAGGATACAATGGTTGAAGACACTGTGTGCAACTGTACTTACTTTCTGTGTAGAAAAAGCTTTTAAGCAGTTTCTAATTGTTGTTTTGTCCCTCCTGTTACCTTTAGCCAATGATTCCCCTGCACTAATCCTGACTTCAGGAGGTGCATTTGCAGTCGGGTCCAGACAAAGTCCTTCATTCACTGGTAAACCAGCACCTTCTATCTCCAGTAGACACACATGTATTTAGGATATTACCAATTTTATCCCACAGAAATGTTTTTAAATGATTTGATATTCTTTCCCTTTGTGGAATGCACAGAAGTTTAGGAATAGGCAGTTACATCAATCAGAGCAGCAGTAATTGGGCATGTGAAGAAGAGATTTGGCTCCGTACCCTCAACATTCACTTTGCTCTCTCCTAAAATGTAGGCAAATCCCTTTCAAAGATCAGACTTTGCTTTCTTACACAGTATTTGTTTCCATTTTGCTGCCACTCCTTTATCCCCATCTTCACCATCACCATTTCAGTGCTGGTACTGGAGCCTCCTGATCCCTCTCCCTGTATATCTGGCTGTTGTTCACCATCATAGCACTAGATTGGGACGCAATTTTCTCGGCTACCCAGGAGCAAGATGATCTTGATATCTGAGGTAAAAAAAAACAAACTACTATTCTACTGCGGTTACAGAGGTATTCACAAAAATGTACATTTAAAAAAAAATGTTGAGATGATACAAACGTATTTGTAATTATTTCTTAAAATAAGTGAAACATTTAGCATAAGCCTATAGGAGTACAGAAATGAATGCAACTGTACAAAACTTGTCATGAATTTTTAAGTCTTTTAAATCTTAAGTGCACATACACATTCACAAAAACTTAGTATTTTAAGCAAAATATGTACTTTATTTCCTAAACATTACTTTATTTGAATATTTATAGCTGCTTGTCATGTTCCTTGTTGGGGGCAGCATGGTGGCACAGTTGTATGTTCTCCCTGTGTTTATGAGGGTTTGTTCTGGGTCCTCCACCCACAGGCTGAAGACACACTGGTGGTTAATTGGACTGGTGTGAGACTGTGTTTTCCCTGCAATGGACTTGCATCCCGTCCGGGGTGGACCCTGCCTGCTGTGTTTAATATGACCCCGTTCTGGATAAACTGGATAAAGTGGTTTAGCAAATGGATGGATTGTTTAAAATGATTTTATAGAAATCCCTGAAGTACTGCTGTCTTCAATACTTTTCTCTGTTCTAGTTTCACCTTTGTTCTTTTGTTTAATTTCAACAGACATCCACTGAAGAGCATAACCTGCAATAGTGATGCCACGTTTCTATAGCAAATAATCACCTAAAGATTGCTATCCACTGCAGTAATATACAGTATACTGTATACGAAAAAGGACAAATATATATCCACTATTAAATACTGTACTCATCATAACTTAAAAATAGCCATCTGCTGCAATAAGCTACATGTTGGATATGATAAAAGAGCGTTTGTGCCTTGTAGTTCTGTCTACACCTTTAGAATTACAAATATCATAAAAATACATCAAAGCACAGTACAAATCAAAACTCATTTAACAAAACTTGCAGCAGGTGTTATATTTGCTTTTTTGCTACTAATTCTCACATCACTGTATATCACAAGCACACAAACATCTGTATTTGATGTTTGACAGCTTTGTTAACCAACACCTGCAAATAAGCTTAGTTCTGAAAAAGCTGCAGTTGAACCTATGGGACAATTAAAGCAAAACTGAAATAATTAATAACATATCTGACAACAAGCAGCCAGAATGAACTAAAAACACTTCATGAATTTATAAAAACTTTATTTACAGAACATGCATGCTTACAATGTGACATCTCAGCATGACTGATGAGCAGAGATCTAATCTCAACAATCACAACTGTACTATATCATGGCTTTTCAAAGTTTTGTCACTTAGCAGCATTAAACTAAAAAAATGGTTTTGTGCTGTGCAAAACGTATACAATCATTTTGACTGTTTTCAAACACAATACTAATTGAACATCACAAATGGAAGTTTATTTCTTCCAAAAAACATTCAAAGGTCATCATCATCAAATGTCTCAGTACATCTCAGAAAAAGACTCTCTGAATCTTCAGTCTGAAGTACTTCCTGTATGAACGAAAGTGGTTTAAAAAGTCATATTAGGAATATTACTTAGATTAATAAAATGAATATAAAATAATCTAAAGGAAAATACTGCTAGAATGTTTTAGTAAGGTACATAACTGAGGTTGGCACCCTGAATAAGTAGTTAACCTTTAGGTAGGAAGAAGTACAGTTGTTCATATGTTGATACAGTATTAATATTGGAAAGGTCAGAAATTGAGATACAAAATGTACAGTATCCAGGATCAAATCAATGAGATAAGAATAAGTAGCTGGTAAATGGCAATACTGCACTTGTACCTTTGGTGCCAGTATCACTAGTGTAACTTTCTCTTGCTTGGAAAAGGAAACTTCTGCTGACTTTTGTGGAAGTTCATCATATGCCAATATTGCATGAGATTCAATAAGAAAATATTAATTTCAGAGATGTATGCAGACAAGCAGACAGTAACACTTACAGTAACTATTCAATTAATTCTAAATGCAGTGCATATGCTAGGATTAAAAAAAGGCCATATTATGATTCCACACTGCCTAAAGCAACTTCAGAATGAAATCTGCTTTCTCTTCTGAAATTTCAAACAGATTGTGGTAAAAATATGTTTAGCCAAATACGTCCAACCTTTGCAGGTACCATTCTGGAGGAAGAAAAGGAGGCATGAACTGTTTCATTGAAACACTTTTCTCGAGAAATGTTTAAACAGTTCTCTGAACTTGGACCACTTTCAAGTCTGCAAAAGTTTAAGTTGTTTAAGAACATTAACAATGGATACTTAAAATGATAAACACATGCCACAGGCAGGCGTCACTCTAGGGACAGTCAAATTCAAACAGAAAAGTTGTGTTCGTGCAAAAAACCAGGATGGCCACTTGCCCTGTCTTTGCTTTTTAAAGGTGATCAACTCCAAACATGGCTGGCATCATCCCGGAGACAGCAGCTTTGTTGTAATACTGTAGGTCTTGTGAAGTGAAATACTGTGTGCCTGTATGACCTTGAACTCTTATGAATACTTGTGTGCTAGGGTAGACTGATGTGCTTTCTTAAAGTACCTGTCATAAACTTAATTATGTTAAGTATCCTTAATGAAATCATGTCACCACAAAGTGGCACCAGAAACATACCTGGGCCTTTACAAAGTTTATGATGGCTCTGTAGATTTCCCTCAAATCCTCAACACTATTATAGTCAAGAGACTCCAATACTGGCCTGAAGATGAAAGAAAAACAACATGTAATGTATGCAACACACCTTAAAATACTGTTGGGTGAGCTTTTCTTCTATTCTAAGACGCTTAATTAGAAAACCCAATCTATAGCAGGTGCTCTGACATCTAAGCTGCGTATTTAAATTGGAATAAGAAAACATAGAATACATGTATATGCAGCCTGAGGTTTCTGCCAATTATGTCCATGTCTTAAGACTTTCCATGCTGACATTTTCTCTCTTCATAAAACCCTCCTTCTCCCTTTATGGAATCTGCAGTTAATGCTTCAATGATTGATTAGAAGATGACAGTGTGAAGAGTTGAAGTGTGGCCAGGAAACTCAAATACAATCAATGCCACATTATTATACTAAAGGGAATATAGGGTTTGGTGAAAACGTCAACTTCAAATAAGTGTCATTTTAGCCCAAACCTTCTAGAGTAACTTGCCTCACAGCTGTGTCCACTTCTCTTGACAGGAGTATTAGACTTCAGTATGACGAGGGGTAAGCTATTTTAACTACACTTCACTTCAGCATTACGAGTATGTAGCCAACCTGCTAAATGGTGTTTGATTTAATTTGGAACACAGCTGCAAACTTTTACAATCGAAACACATGCTTCATTTTGCAAACAAAAATACAAAACACAAGACAAAGAAGCACTGCAGCTACTGAGTTCAAATTATGACTTGGTTCCAGATAATCAGAGCCGTTTTCCATAGAATATAGAAGCAACAAGCTCATGTCAGGATCCACCCTGGATGGGCCACCAGTCCATCGCAAGGCACACACAGACACAAACATGCACACACACTGCTTGTATGTACAGTATGTGACCCATTCAATGTGACAGTTGCGAATAATTAACCTAGGAATCTTTTCTTGTAAGAGCTGTATACTTACTCATAAATGTTATGACTCATAAAGGATCTCAATGGCTTGCACTGTCTTACTGCGTACACTTGTGCTCTGCAGTGTTTTGCAGTTTGCCAGTGCTGTAGAGGGGTTCTGCCTAGGATGAATTGCTCAATCTGGGATAAGCCAGACGCTTCTTATAAGAAAAATGTGAAGAGACTTTCACTACCATGGAAGGACACCAATTTTTTCCACTTACTGCTCTTGTCAGTGTGTCGTGCCATCGTCAAAAATAAAGAATTCCAAATAAAATGAAAGGCTAAAGAGTGTGCTTGTATTTAAGAAAACAATACACAAGTCCAGAGCCACTTCCTTGTGTGTGTGATGGGCTACATCATTATCGTCAGATTCTTGAAACCTGGGTACCGGGGATAAAGTACATTCCTGAACAAACTCATTTATGATGCACCGGCAAGGCTTGTTTTGATCTCTGCAAAGTCATGGTGTTGTAAATAGTGTCGACAGATGTTCAAAAGAAGTTCAAATTCGAATGCTGTACTTCTGTTCCCCAACATACTAATACTCCCTGAGTGCACACACTTCTGCTTGCATTCTTTTTTAGCAGCTGGCATTTTGGGGTGTTCTGAGACACTCGCTGTCACTAAGACCGTATTACCGTTTACTGCGTTTGCCTCCTACAAGCAAGGGCCAGAGGCGCTTTCTCGCCCCTCTCAACCTGAATGTCTACAGGGGAAACAAGTGGCGCTGCTCCTGCCATGCCATCTGTGCTTTTCTTTCACTCCTGGTGTCATCAACTCTCCCTTAGAACAACTTAGCCACCTCTCTCTTGTCCTAATCTCACTCGCTCCGTTCTTCCTCCCTCCCCTTTTTTCACTCCGTTTCTGGTCGAGCATTCAACCCACTGCACCTGCAGAACGACCCCAGCATATCTGTGTACTTTTGCCTCTCTGCTTTCCTCACTCCTGGAGCATGGTTACTAATGCTCACATCACCTCGTGAGCACAGGTGCACGGGGCCAGTCTGCTCTGGTGCCTGCACCCCCAATTGCCGCCTTGGCTGCTATGGCGACATGGTTTTCTCCCACCCCTTTCCCCCTTTCCTTGACTGGTGACTAACTGGTGTAAAGTTGGCCCTCAACTCTTCTCCCTCCTAAAGCTTCCATCTGTGAGTAGAACTGATAATCTGTTCTTCCTTTGGGGGTTTCGCATGACGTACGTTCCCAGCCATTCTGTGCAGCAAATTTCAGCAAGTGATAATAGCTCTCTTCCTATTTCTGTATCGGTACACTTGACTTTAAGATACTCTTCCCGCTCACAACAGTGTTTTCTGCTGCCCACTGCAGTGTTCCAACCTCAAGCTTGCCGCCGCTAGTGCTAGTCATACTACCTGTTCGCTGACTTATGTCCCATCAGCCCTGTCATATCATATCCTCTGTCGGGCGAGTTTAACATTAAAGTATTAAGCACGCTATCTCTTTATGTGTTCTTTGGATTGTTTCGCTGTTATTAGAATTTGGGAGAACTGCTGAAATGTCTTATGTAACAGAGTTTCAGGAGGATGTCAGATTCTAATGTTGCACTTCTGCTCCATTACGTATAAATACTCCCTGGCTGCACAGCAGTCTGCATCTTTTCCAGCACCCCAGTCTCACCATGATGGAGTGAAGGGGGCTGTGAAATAGTTGATCATTTCCTCAGCCAGGTGAGATAACACCGCCATATTAAGTGCGCTATCCCTTTATATCCGCTGGCTCATTTTGTCATTTTCAGAATTTGCAGATGTTGGTACAGATTTTAACGGAATTGTCCAGAGAAGATGTGCTTTGATGAAACTAGTCGGTTACACTGTGTTTGCATTTTAATATGGCAGGACCGTGCAGGAGAAAGGAAAGTGCAGTTACCATACCTGTTTTGAGAGGATGTTTCTGTTTCCATCCGAATAAAGTCAAAAGCATCTTTAAACAGGTCCTTGAATGAATAAATACATAGAGTGAGTAGAAAAGGCAACTTCATCTTCTTAGCTTACAGTAAAGATGTGCAAACAATTTAAATATAAAGTCTTTTTTTGAAAGCTCTAAAACCACAATGTTTTCTTTACAGAATTGTAAATGGAAAGGTTATTAAAGTGAATCACACATTTGTTGCATGACACATTTTGTTACTTAATGTCATACCATGCTGATTTGGTAGTGCAGGAGCATTATTATTACAAGGCGCTACGTCCTTAAGGGAACCTTACCATGCATCTCCTAGCTATCGCTGCCAAAAACATTCGTTTAAACTGTGTAAGATTTGACACGAACTCTGGAGGATGGATATAACAACTCTGCCTAAGAACGGCTGCATTCATCACTTAAAGGTTTAAATGCAATTAAAGTGAGTGTTTAAAAAAGTCCAATCCCATGAATGCTTACGCAGCAGGACAGTGAGCTCTAAGGAGAAGGAAGCTTTCAGTTCCACACTATTTGAGGGATGGCCAGAATGCCAGAACTCCACCCCTGAGGGTTCTGAGAACAAACAGGCTCCTCCTGCAGTACTGTCCAATGCTACAGCAGGGGGAATTGTATCAAATGTTCTGTCAGTGACGGAAGGAGCTTTTCAAGGCTTTAATTTCTATAGCATGGCATGGATTAAATGATCAAATCTACTGCGGGAACATATGGTCTGCTCAAAAGTGCCTTACTCCCTTTCTGGGAGCTAAACCTTCTGCAGTCTGAAGATAAAAAAACTGCCCCAAGACAAAGATAATCAGCTTTCAGATTAGGTTTGGGCAAAAGAATAGGCATCATGTCGCTCAGGATATTTTCAGCTCTTTTATGGAAATGCCCTCCTGGCTACCCATAAAAAATGACATTATAAATTTATAGTCACCCAAACAAGCTGTGAGCAGATCGTCTGTGACAGGTAAAACTTGGGGATTTTGTTTAACTACTCTGTATGTACAGGCAGGTGTTTAAGGTTGGTGAAGATCCTATCATTCATAAATTTTACACTGGAAGTGTCTCCACAAACACTTTATCACTGTGCTAAATTCGAACATTGGAAGGTACGATGACCACTTAGCAATCAAACACATACTGTACAGTATATACAGTAGCACAAAATACTCTGCACTGTGATCTAGATTCTGTTATGGTCTGTAAAAAAATCTGGTGGAGGTCTTGGCTGGTTGGTAATTACACCAGTGGTTTCTTTCTTGTTTAGTATAATCCAAATTTTAATTTTATTTTGTTCAAAACTGCTTGCTTTTATAAAACAATATTGTGTACTAAGTACCCAACTACAAACACCCGACCATCAGGAGACAGTTCCTATACTTTGCTCTTGTAAAATAAAGTCAACACTATCAATTTGTTTAAATTATCCGAGAACTGAATTGACTTGACTAAAAAATAAAATACTTAGGTATTTTACTTTTCGATTGTTATTAGAAATCGAGGCGACACTCATACTTTAGTCCAAATACTTGGGACACTGTACATGCAGATAGTATACATTTACAAAACACTGAGCCTGAAGAAGTTACATTTGAAGAAGACTTTGGTGTTGTTTCTGCGTCTTAAAAGGACCCACCATTTTCATCTTCTAGACAAGTCGGAGAAGCAATACAAAAAGCAAACTGATTGTTAGTTTATACACTGTAAGTGTAGAGGTTTCATCCAGGAATGTTATGTTAAAATTGTAAAATGCAGAGCTCATTTAGAGTCATTGTGTTAAAAAAGCTACTGTAGCTCTGGATTAAGCCCAGAGCAAGAAACCAGATGCATTCCCAAGCTCAAAGGAAGTCTTATATTGACTGGCTAAAAGAACAGAATCGTTTCAGTCTTTAACAGAGTGAACTATCAGGAGGCCTGATTCCACTACTCAAAATCTTCAGAGGGACTGACAAAGCCTATCCACGGCACATTCAACTTCTGAAGAATCCAGCGGTGGACACGCTGAAACTAAGGGGAAAAGCAATTTAGACAGGGAATAGGAGACTGTTTTTTATTTTAAAAATTGTGTCAGGGACAAACCATGCCGTCAAAGCCGATTTCCTGTCTTTTTTTAAAGATTAAAATCCTTCGATCAATTAGCTACTAACAAATCAGACAAGCTAGACGGGTTTGTGGAATGGACTCCTCTTGCATTCTTATCTCCTTGTACGCCCTACCTTGACTTTGACACCCTGTACTTTAATCAAAGCCCGACATACGAGTGCATCATTTTAGAGAAAGCTGGTAAGTGCTGTTGACACAGGAATATCGTGGGCAAGGTGTACCCCTTTCACAATTCAGCCAACCAGCTTCTATTCATTTCCATAAGCCGCGATACCTCATGCTCGTAAGTGCAGAGTGGTTAATGACAGAAGTGAAAACCATTCACCTCTTCGGATGACAGTGAACCTTCTTGGCTCCCAAGCTGACACGAGCTGGGCGGGGAGCCCTGGAGAAGCGGCTCACCCAGCAGGTTCAGGGAGACGGAGGACTCCCGCCCCAGACTGTAGCTCTGGAAGGCAGCCCTCCGCTGTCCTGGCAGGCACTCCCACAGCCCCGAGATGGCCTCCGACACCACGGCCAGGCCGGCCTGCTCCGGGGACAGCACCCCGCCCTTCAAAAGCAAGTCCACAGTCTGTCTGTAGAAGAGCAGGTACCTGCAGAGGAAAGCACACAGCCTCATTAGGAAACAGGAGAAGCTGCTGTGTGGCATTTTCTCCAGCAAAGTTATCAAAGCATGAATATGAATTAAGTCACAAAAGTAGACTCACTGTGCAATACCAGGATCCTCATTTTTGTACCATCAGAATAGTGAAGAAATCAAGCAGTTAGCTTAATACCTTCTACAACTGGATGACTTCCCCAAACACATATTTGTTGCTAATCTTTTCATCTCTCATTATGAACCCATTAATTTAAAAGCCAAACGCTAAACAAAAAAACAGCACACTACAGATTACATTCCAATGTTCAAAATTAGAACATTATATTATAATGCAACAGTAGGTTAATTTTGAAATGCACAATTTAATGACAAGGTAACTTGTTACCTTTTACTGATTTTTTCTAAAAAAGTAACAAAAGCTTATACTGTACAGTATGCAGGTATACAATAAATAATACAAAGAGAGAAACTTATATTTTGGAAAAATAACTCATATTGCCTTGTTGCTAACAAACACAATATTGTTAATAGTGACAAGTAAACATGAAGCGGACATCCTTCAGGACACAACTGGGTGAGATCTTCAGATCAACCTAGAAACTAGAAACCAAATGGGCTTCGTATGTCAGTGGCCACACGTCAGGTGGAATTTTTCTTAGGTTACTTAAATTACAGCACTTTTTATAAAACACCAACAAAAGCCTCTGAGGCATAGGGTCAGAGGTAAATACTGATATGACAAGAAGCATAAAAATGTGATTTGTGTTACATTAAACGATACATACAGTGCACTGTTTGGATACATGATCCTCAATAATGTACAGAGGAATTCACTTCTGAACTGTGCCTACCCTTCAAACTCTACAATGCTGGGAAAAGAAGCACTTGAAGACTGTGAGAGTTCAAAGGTGTTGTCTGATATTTCTTCTTTATTAGGCCCTGGTGAATCCCAGGCGTCATAATGCTGTTTCCATACCGATCTCTCTTCGGGGTCAGACCTAAGGGAGACAACCAAATCCTTAAAGAAGACTGCACAATTAATAAGGTTCAGAATGTGAGGTATGACTGAAGGCAAGAATGTGATTGACTGTGTCAAGTAACATATCGTGTCACATTCGAATGTACTCTTGGAGCAATACTTCACGTGGCTTTCTGAAAACGATTTGTCCACTAATCAATGTAAAAAAACAAAGCGAAGTGAAGCTGAAATGACTTCGTCTGAAAGACAACTATAACAGGGAGATGGCACCCTGCTTCATTCGGCACCAGCCCTGGACTCACAGATGTAAAGTAACAGAGTACTCCAAGATTACTGCTAATCAGCTTCTGGGAAATTACTGCTCAGTGTCTTTATTAATAGTGGCATAATTATGCAGGTTATGTACCGCTTTCAGTCATTTTTTTATATTGCTTTGTTTTCTCACAATTCTTTTACATTAGCTGCATTATGATGCTTTGCTATTTTAGCACTGATCTGTGCAAAATATCTACATCCCAGCATGCTTTTTTGAAAAGCTGCAATGGACCTAACAACTGTTTTCAGTTTCACACTGTTTTTGTTTCAAACTCGTACCATTCTAACATCTGCAAACATCTAAATTAAATGGAAATGAGTTTCAGAGACTAAGAGTTGGCTTGAAAAAAAGTCATTTTTCCACAACCTCTACAGACATCAAACAGCCAATCACGTGTGCAGCAATCTCTTCACTAGAAGATCCTCACAAGCTTAACCACCTTGGAGAAACATCCTCTGTATGCCTACGTACCCCCTGGCTCACATCTCGATGTGACATTCTCTTTACCAGAGACCCAATACTTCCACATAAAACTTAAGTAGACAAAGAAAGAAATCTTACGAAACAAATATTTATATTATTTTAATATACATATAACCAGAAGATACTTTAACACAATATAAAAAGTTTCTTTTGCAGGAATGGGAATTGGCACACATTACACATAAGGGTATCTAGAAGGCACTATTTCAAAAAGTTACAATATTGTTAACAAACTGCACCTGGACTGCGCAACTATCTTCAGCTCTTTTACTCTTAGCAAGCCATTCAAAAGCTGCTTATTTAAAAAATTCCTTAACTACTGAAAGTAACATTACTTACATTTACTACCCTATTTGCTTTTTATTAGCTAGTTATTAACTGTGAACTGTTGTATTTGTTTTATTTAATGTATATTACTTTATAACATTAATGGGCTTGTTCACAAATTATTTGCTTTTTTCTCACACAGTAGCTTACTTTGTTTTAGGATTCTATGACATTTCTACAATAGAAATAGGATGTTGTTATTTAGTAAGCGTGAACAATCGGAGACGAATGGAAGAACACTCAGAGCCCAGCGGAACCATGCTGCCTGTGTGCCTCTCGCCCTACCGTGCGCCACTATTCATACCAACACACGTCTGTGTATGCAGAGCATGCCCTGCATCAAACACCACAGACCACACTGCTGACTGTGGATTCGGCCAGTTGATAGCATCTTCATTTAAGAGGTATATATTCTTGAGGTGTGCTAAACCAAATTAACCAAACATAAAGAACTAAGTGTATTCATTAATTACTTGCATTGATACTAATCCTTTCATGAGAATCCAGAAGGATCAAGTTCAAGTTCAAGTTTATTGTCATTACACTCATATACATGGTATATGGTATAACGAAATGCTATTTAGCTAGCTCTCAGACATAAGTAGTACAAAGATCCTGAAGCTCTTGCAGTTACAGGAGGATACTTTATTACTTTAATTCATTCAGCACTGAAATGCAGCACCAAGGATGATGCACAGCAGCTATTACTTACCAGCAGCTTCACAACATGACTTGCAGAGAAGAGGAACATGAGAAATTCTTAGGGGGAGCTTTCGGATGATTGTACAAGCCCAGAGTGCAATTTAGCTAGGACAACAAGATTAACATCCTTCTCTTTCAAAATGTGCCTTGGAAGCTTTAATGGTCAAGCTGTCAGGATCGCAGTTATCACTCATCTGAAGAACGACACCCCCTGTAGCACAACAGCCCATGTCAGCAAGCTGGAGCACTGGTTTGGTCCATCAGCACCACTGGCAGCGGCAACCTGATTCTCACTGAAAGTCTCCCATCCCAGTACTGCCAGGCCCGGCTTTGCCGGGCTTCTGAGACCTGACGAGATCAGGCTAAAACGTGGCAATACTACTGCTGACCCGCTAAAGGGACATTAAGTAAGGGTGCAGATGTTTAGATAAATTAAACAGAAATTCAAGACAAATCTAATAACATAAGTAAAATGTGTAATTCTAATCATTTTTGTCATCCGACTATGTAAAATTGTTTTTATTGTTGCTATTTTAAAACAGATTTTTATACTTAAATAATTAATCAATTTTTATATGAAAAGAAAGAGTTTAAATGGCAAACTGAAGAATTTTGATAATGCTACATTTACATTTGAGACTGATGAAGCAGTACTAATGTTATGTTACAAAAAATGCTTGCAATTAACATAAACCAATTTGCAGAATTAATGACACAAAAAAAGATGACAAAAGCAGATTACTTTTAAGAAGGAAAGTCTGAAAAGTACTCAGAACAGCATTTAGAAGAAACATAGGTCAAATAACACTGATAGTTTTTGTTTTCAAGAAGTTAAATTAAAGTTTTGATGATTACACTCATTAGAAAAGCACAGTTTGCTTTCTGAAACTTCAAAACACAACTTGCTTTATGCAACTAAGTACAAGGGCCAGCCTTCTCGCTGGACAGTGGACAGATGCTGCCACTTAGTGGAGGATGGGTGCATTAACGCTCATTGCGAGCATACCTGCAGAGAACACAAAACCTCTGATATTCTTCTCTCACTTCCTCCACACTGTATGGCCCTCCATCATCCATCTGGAATACCTCTGCAACAACACAGACAACACAACCATCTATTCAGAGTGAACACGGCTGTCACTAATCACTACAGTGTTCACCCCATCTAAATATTGACCTGACTGAGACGGACACCAGGGGCCCTTGCAGAGGATCTGGAATGGCCTTACTGGCGCAGCGTGTACTAGTCAGGAGCTCTACTATTGTACAGCACCTTCCCTTCATCTGCCTCGGTGTCACTGAAAGCCACAGGCGTTGAGATACATTTGTATATATGATGTAGTACGTGCAAAACCACACAACCAAGAGGTAATGACATCACTACACCTTTTACAATGCTGAGGCATCCGTGTGCTGTGTACTGAAAACTCAGGGGCAAAACGACTAAATAAGACCAGCTCTTTCATCCCTCTCTCTACAGGTTTTCACCTGACCTTTCATCTTCAGCAGTTCATTCAGGTGGGCTTCCTGCTGCTGGAGGAATGTCTTTGCCCGTTGCAGGACCTGCCACTGAGAAACACACAAGCATTACACAGCAGTGACAGATGACGCTCGTTTTACCTTATTTACTGGACCTAGAGCTTGTGCAAAGAACTTCTAACGCCCATGCAGCAATGAAATATAATGTGTGTATAGAATATTTAAACCTACACCCGAAATATCCCATTACCATTTCCTCCTCTCCACCATGACGTTTTGTATTTCGCACCAACTGCGAAAAATGTCCCTGGATCACACTACGTGGTCTGAAGGCCAAAACGCCATCCTAGTCAGAACCACAGGCTCCAGCATGCCACACTGCTTCCGTGAAGTTTTGAAAAAAAGCTGTGCAGTACCCCAAAGCGAGAAGACCACATCTGAGACTGGAGCGGCATGTGTAGCCCCGAGCAGCTTTGTGTGCAGGACTCTTACCTCCCAAGGAAAACATGCTGGTTCTGTGGGAGGAATATGAAATTAAGGCAATGATAAAAACAGAGAAACAACACATTCTAAATCAACCCATCATTTACATACAACACTCAGCAAATATTTCATTCGGGATATTAACAACATCGCAGAATAGAAAGAAATGCTTTCTGGTGCCTTGCATAAAAAAACAAAAGTGCATCCGATTTTTTTATCCATCAACTTTTCTGGTTTTCTAAAATTATTCAAGCAATGTCAATGTGATCATCCTAATTAAAAGAAACACATTTAAAATCTCTATCTTGATGCTTCTCCGATAATAGTTGTTACCATAGTTACCAGCACATGTGCTGCATTATTTTTGTTATTCACATGATATTGCAGTTTTTGTCTGAATTTAGTCTGAAGTAAATGTGATTTATATAGTATTACTAAGGGAACATACTGTTGTGACCATTTGCACCCCCAGCTTGATTACCTTACTAAGAAGCTGTGAACAATGGTTATTGTCCAGCAGTATTTACTCAGATGCTGTTGGCATAGGAGGAACGCAAACACGGGAGAAGAAACACACAATCAAAGGGCGTTCCTTAATCATTTACGTGGGTTAATTAATTTCACAGTACATCATTAAGTCTACCTATTAAATAATACACATCCGATAGTGATGGGCCATTCCTAGGAAGGGAAGGAAAGGACAACAGACCTTATCGTCACCCCTCAGCATCTCTGAAGCTGCACTCTTGAACAGAGTCACTTTTCCTAACCAACCTGGAAATCAAATTTGAGGAAATCCTGATTTCGTTTACTGTGGACTCCTTAGTCTAAACCTGTTTTCTCCGTGTTAGTGATGTATTGTTAGAACTCCTACACAGGCTTCCTTTCACTTATGGGCTTCCAATTTTAAGAGAGAGATTTAGATCTGAGCAGAGCACATATTGTTTGGGAGCAGAACATAGGTTTTCTCTACTTGGCCATTTTGTGGTATATTTAGATTTTAGGTCAGGTTCTAGAATTCTCAAGGTCTACAGGAAGGACTCTGAGACCCACTGATTGCACAAATGTACACTGTCATTAAGAAATATTCATATTGTCTTTTGATTTGGGCCTGATTATTACTCTATCATCAGAGCTTTTTCTCAGAGAAAGGACTCATGATTTTGGAAAACTCTGTAATCCCTGACTTCAGGAGAGTCAAATTATTCATCTTTATTATTTGTTTGCATAACAAGCTGGTGTCAGAATCTTAATTTTTAGCATCCCCCTGTAACAGTATATTTACCTAAACACATCATTAACAATATCTTACAATCTGAATATAAAATACATGCTATATTTAGTGTAGCCGTATAACATTTTTTGCAATGAGCCAGTATTCCAGTACCAGCAACTGAAAATATAATGACAGCAGCTCGTGTCCTGTACTGCGCCTGTTGCTTGCCAATGTAGGCACCGGCTCCCCCGCGACCCTGGATTGTGGATGAAGCATCTGGATGACTGGATAATTCAATTTCATCAACATACTGTCAATTAATGAAATTACCTGAAGGACCCCAGTACTCGTTTTCATTATACAATACTAATAACCCATCATTACTGATACTTGTAATAATCGCTGTTCTTACTGGACTAAGAACATCCTCCTAAAGCAGTGAAGTGAAGGAGCAGGCAGGCAGACAGATGCCAGTCATAAGAACAGAATGGAGGCGCAGTCCAAGCCGTGATCAGGTAACACACAGTTAGCACACAGAGTTTGGCACCGGCAGAGACAAAAGAGCACAAAAAACACCCAGGAGTCTACCCAAGGTACAAATGCAGATCATGGCCAGAAAAAACACAAAGCTGGGCATAGGAAAAATCCAAAGAGAAGTCAAAACACAGGCGCCATAGCTGAGGATAGACGAAGTGCACAAGGAGAAGATCAGATCACTTTATTGGCCATATTTTGTAATAGGAATTTGTTTTTTCACATACCCCAGCTTGCTCTCCATGAGACACACAGACAGGGAGAGAAGCTTGGGGTCAGAGTGCAGGGTCAGCCATTTATACAGCGCCCCTGGAGCAGTTGGGGTTAAGGGATTTGCTCAGAGGCGCAACAGAGTAGGATTCCTCCGCCGGCTGCGGGATTTGAACCAGTAACCTTCCAGCCACAGGCGCAGATCCTTAGCCACAGAGCCACCGCTCTGCCACAGAGAAGCCAGGAAGGCCGAGATTAGAGACAGAACTCTCCGAGACTGAGCACAGATGACTGGCAAATCAGGTCTTAGATACCCTGTAGAAACAAGGTAAGTACTGATTTAATAGCAAACAGGTGGGAATGACTTACTGCCACTTCGCGTTGTCATGATCATTGATTGACAGGTGCCATAGCTGCCTGGACAGGTCTGCTGGTAGTTTGTCGTGAGGGAGTATCATAACGCTTATAACATAAATATTCCAAGAAAATGCTCGTTTCAAGAGCCATGGAACCATACCCTATCCTGTGTTCCCCATACAGTATTAAGTCCCACATCTGCAGAAATGTAACTATGTAAAAATGTAATGTAAGGGAACTAACCCTTGTGAATACTGAGCTTTTACTGTAGCATATTGATTTCTGACTCATTAGTGAGGATGAGAGAACTACTTCCTCCACACATCTGTACTCGCGGCAACACTGATTAATCAAGTCTGTTATTTCTTCCAAATGCTTTCTAATGTTTGTGACCAGCTTTTGTTTTTTGCTTCTGCAGGGTGGACAGATTTGTTTATTGAACAGTCCAATAAAACCTATTTTTACACCTTTCATGCCAGTAAAATTTATATTTTGCTTTTTTGGCATTTGTCATCTTATTTCATTTATTTTGCTAATTAGGAAATTGGCTATATTTAGGATTGTGGAATTGGCTAATGATTTAGTTTTGTGGGCTGAGGAAGTTATCTCTAACTGCTTAGCAGTAGTTTGACATCAGGTACCACTGTTCACAAGAATATATGACAGAGTAGTCTAATACATTAAACTACACATACTGAATGATTATTTTTACTTACAGTAGTTTTACTTTTTAAACACACATGTTGTATTCACATGAATACAATTACATTACAAATATACAGATTTAACGGTAGACATTTTTACATCTGAGCCAATTTAGTTTTTTTTTGCACCAGATGTACCAGAAATATAAAACATTTCATGTAGGATTAATGTCCAACGTCAAGATCAGTTGGGAATTCTGGTGGGTGCAAATAATGAGTTAAAGGGAACTGCAGTCCCAATTTCCCAGACCACTTGTTACTGTATATCTCAGTAACAAAATAAATTGACATTATAAAAAAATACAAATTTTGAACTAAGCACAAAATTGTGAACTTTGTGAAGCAACTTGAAGTCGCCATGAAGTCTTGCATTCGAGTTCCCATGAATTGCCACATGATTCGGCCCTTCCTCCTCACCAGTCTCCCTAATGGCTGATGTGATGTGATGTAGGAGTGGATAAGTACAGGTTTGTCACTGCAGAACTGTTCCAATGCGATCTACGTGCAGAGTTAACTGGTAAGTAATGTTTGCTGGCAAAACTGTGTTGAAATCAGAAGCAATATTTCCACTGGATTTTTAAAAAGACACATTCACAAGCCTGCTTGTTTACAACGTCATAGGGCCACACGCGTCACCGGACGTTTTGCTGCCTTGTTCTAAGTTGCAGAACATGTTGCTGAGCCTACCTGGAAATTTCATCCATTTTGTGGTGTAAACTGGACATTTTCACAAGTCACTGTGTACATTTCATTTTCACTGCGGTGTGAAATTCCCACATCACTGCTGATTCTTTCTAACCCCACAATTTGAAAACACGCCCTGCAGTTCCCAACTGCCCACTAAGGCAAAGCTAAAAGCAAGCTAGGCCGAGGCTATGAGCCGCTGTATCACCATGGGCTTGCAGAAAGAAGAATGATGTGGCACACCAGGGTCTAATTACATGGCTTTGCCACTTGTGCTCGAATCAGAGCATTAATGGGGCCACTTTTCATTCAGTAATGACTGTTCTTAGAAAAGAGAGGAAAAAAAATAAATGATTCTAACAGTAACTATGTCTGTTGTAATAGCATGCTAATACTACATTAAGTGTAACTACACTTAATTTACTGGTTAATCACTCTCTTAATAACTTGTTAATAATCCGTTCCTGTTACAGTGTAAACAGTGTCCGTACGGTAACGCCCCCTGACAGGAAGGACAGTACCTTGCTGGGGTTCTTCCTGGCAGCAGGGAAGACCACGCTCCTCAGGGTGTCCATCAGCCCTGCCAAAGTGGCTCGCTGCTGGGCCTGCAGGAGGCGCCGGCGTGTCCTCAGGGGATCCCCCGCCACCGCACCCTGGCTCGCCATCGCGCCCTGCGGGACAGTCTGTCACCTCCGGGAGCCTCGGTTCAGAGCCTTGTATGAGGCGCTTCTGCCCTACTCCACTTCCTGTCTGTGTTCAATACCTGAACGTACCCTTGACCTCTTGCCAAAACAGGATTGGTAAAAATCCAAAGGTGAGCACTACTCTATTGAGGCTTGGTATTAGCGAGGTTAAATATATCATGAAGGCTATATTCTACTATACAGAATGTAGTCCTATACTATAAGAGACATTTTTATGGTATATATATGTTTGCTATTGGATTCAAACCAGAACTGAGGGACATTCTCTCTAATTTCCAAACTACTGCAGGGGGGGTCTCACGCTTCAGGTCACTGTCCTCTTCAAAATACCAATCAGTACCAATACACTGAACAAGATCAGAGCAAATGATCTGAGGTTTGTTGAGGAATTTTTTTTTACTATATCCTGGCACCTTAAGCAACGTCTCCAGATCACCGTGCAGTACCCATAGTAGTATGATTACCACCACAGTGTGAGATCCAAATGTTCTTACTAGTGGTACCGAAATTGAATTTCCATTTGAAAAAGAAATGATAGTGAACACAATGCTGCAAATCCAATAGGCCCGGATGAGAGACAGCCCAGGGCTGATGCTGTTTCCAAACAATATATTTTCTGGATGAATGGCACTAGCTGTCGTCTAGGAGAAAATAAACTTTCGCCATGCACTCATCATCGGTATGAGCACTTAAGCACTTCCAGGGCTCATCGAGATGTTAGTGTGTCACTGCCACACTCTTTTCTCATTTCCCGACCTGATAAAAGAAATTCTTTAGATTTAGATTAAAAAGTTTCGTTTTTTACTCACCCAGCCATTTCATTTTCTGTCACATGAGAGGTAATATTAATAGAAATAATGCCTCTCATAACTGAAATATCTTTTGCAGTAAAAGCTTTTTTTCGTGCTTTGAGGTGCAAGGACTATGACAGCTGCCCTTAGAAGCAAGAGACCCTGGTCCAGACCATGGAAAAAGACTGCCATAATATCACAGTAGTAGTGACAAGTGTGAATAAATCACAGAGAGATTTTTTTTTTTTCCTGTGCCACACAAATGAAGACATCAGTTGCAACGTGGACGAATCCCAGCCCGGAGCCACATGCCAGAAAAGACCTGATTAAAAATGACTGGCATGATTTAGAAAACGCGTCAACTGTATTTGAGTTTTAAAGGATGGTTTCTGTCCTATTTTATTTTGAAGAGCGCAGACTGCGAAACTAGGTACGGCACGGTGGCGCAGTGTTTAGCATTGCTGCCTCACAGCAGTGGGCCCCGAGTTCAATTCCTGGGGTACTGTCTGTGTGGAGTTTGCATGTTCTCTCTGCGTTCACATGAGTTTCTTCCAGGGGCTCCGGTTTCCTGGAAGACATCAGGCCCTGGTGTGAGTGTGGCTGTGCTGGTGCGAGCCCTGTCATGGACTGGTGTCCTGTCACAGAGTGTATCCTGCCTTGTGCCTGATAAAGTGGTTAGGCTGGAACCAAGGAAAACAATGCATTCTCCAAAACAAGTGCATTCTGTTCCTGATCACCGAATTTTCTCTGCAGTAGTATAGTTTTCATTACTTTGAAATTAGCTTGAACTTTGTATTTTTTTAAATTTTCAATACGTAGGATAAAGATTATAATTGATCCCCTTAATGCATATTGTATATATACAATTTAACAATTGTATATATATTGAAATAAACATTACATTTATTATATAAATGTATTAAATTTTCATTGAATTATATATTTCCCTATTCCCTCCAGGTGCTGCTGTGCCAAGAACACCAGATATCAACAGCAGATGTGCTACAGCACAAAATCCCATCGGTTCCCCGTCCACTCAGACACGTCTTCGGCCTTGAAATGTTACATAGATTTGATTCTGACGAGTCTCACAGTGAGCCGCTTTGGTTTCAACGTGTTTATTTCAGGAAAAACAGTCAATGTCTCATACTGTAGAAAGTCACTTTTGCCACTCCAAATGAGCGATGACCGGGTGTTCATGTATTCGGAGAAATCAGAGGGGATCCCACAGAATACCCTGCTCTTCGTGAGACTGAGGGCTGCCGTGAAAACTGGAGACCTGTGCTACCACTGGTCACCACGTGGGGGCAGCGTGGTCAATCTATTCGCCACAGCTTATGGACCCCAGTTAAACTGCATACGCACGTCAATGGTAACTGTCCACTAACTGTAGCAGGTAGCAGAAGAATATTAGATGAAAGGGCCATTGTAATGTACTGCTGGCGCAGGGAGGAGATGAACATGTGACGCCTCTTGTCCGGCTTTTAAATTAGCAATGTCGTGAATGCTCTCTCAGCACGAATTTCGCCAGGTTCAAGAAAACCTTTATCCGCCGGCACAAACTTCACAAATGTTACTGTGAATTACATATAACAATAAATGTTTTCTTGCTTACGTTTTTCCCTTCTATAAACACCAGCCAGAATGTAAGGATAAATTGGCCGCAGTTTATTTTTTCATGTATACTGTTTTTATTCTAGGTATTTTTTATTCCGAAAAAAAAACAGTAAATGCACATTTTACTGTCGAACACTGCCTTGACCACGTAATCCAAACCAAATGTCATGGCGGTTAAATAATATGTACGACAGCTGGTCAGGGTGACAAAACATAAATCTTGGAACAATCTAATAGAACTAGACATGTGAATAATTAAAAATGTGGCTTAATATTAATAAAATAATTGTCATATTTACCCGCTGGAAAAGCCGCTTTCGTACGACAGGACAGCACACAGACCAGCGAACTCCCACTGACAGCCACACCTTCCCGCCAAATTCCGCCCCGCCCCATGACCTCAACCAATCACTGGACCCCAGCGCAGGGAGTGACGTGTCGTAACGCCTCGTCATTGGCCGAGACGCGGAAACTGCGCCTGTTTACTGTCCGCAATTGAATGTTTATCTATTTGCTTGTTATTAGGCGGTCAGTTCAGCGGTCCAGCGCCTTTGGGATAAACTTCGCGCTGCGGCGTTAAGTGCTGACAGTGTAGATGAATGGGTTGAGGGTGGTAAAAGACGAAATTATATTTGCGTCGCCCTTTTTTCTGAATTGAGTTTGAACGAAACTTCGCGGGTTGTGGCAGCGAAGGCTGCTGCGTGTTTCGAAAAGACCGGACCGGCTTTAAGGGTCACGTGTTTGTGGAGGACCTTCAGTTGTTAGTTGTCGGTTCGATAAATCAACTGAAGTTTGATTATGAACTGTTTCGTGTTTACAGTTGTATTATTAACAAGTTGCAGCATGTTAAGAACTACAGTAAGTCTGCACGGATCAAACCCCAAATTCAAATTGCACGAACATATATCTCCTGTTTTATTTTCCTCACACCGGCTCCCTGCCGAAAACTTAAAGTGCTGCTGTTCACCCTTATCAGGCTTTAATGGTTTAACCCCCGATTACACCAGTGAACAGTTAATCTGCTACACGGCTGCGCTTTGCATGTGCTCTTGGTCTCTGGCTTGCTTTCAGGACTTAGAATCCTCTTCTAAAACTCACATTTACACTGTACTATTTTAAATAGTACAGACTCAATTCTGTTTAATATATCGTTCTCTTTTGAACATTTTTTATTGTAAAGCACACAGAGATAATACATAATAAAATACATTATATAAACGTATAAATTATTCGTAATTTTGTAAGGTGCCAGTGTCAACAGTCCCTCTCATTCTGAATTGTTACAAAACCACAAGGGGGTGACAGCTGACCAATAAATCGACTAAAATTCGTGCACAGCTAATCTACTTATCATCTATATCAATCTTTGATATACTTGACTCAGTCGTTGCTTGCTAGTGGCATGCCGTCCCGGAAGAGTGTCTATATATACAGTATTGAGCCTCGTAATTCATACTGATAAGACATGTTAGGAAGGTGAACCAGTATTTAGAAGAACAGACCTGTTTCATTTGAATTTAGTTACTTCATTTAGTTTGCTGATGCTTTTATCCAAGAACAGTTTATTTCTATCTAATTCTAAGGTATAACAATGGGAATGGACCCCACAACTATTTCAATGTCCAAACCACACTCCCACTACTACAGTAGGTTAACTAATCTGCCTGCAGCCTGAGATTGAAATAAAAACGTGTTTTTTTAACTAGTATCATATAATTGTGTACCCCCCATATCTAATGCAATTTTAATTGCAAATTAATGCAAATTTATTTTAGAAATAAACGTTTAGACATTTTATTTTAGATAAAATTAAATGTAATGTTAGTTTTATGCATTCACACTTTTATATTAACTTTATAAGTCTGTACTTATGAGAGGGAGGGCCTTAGTATGTTGGAGAAAATCACTTAGAAGTATGAGATAGGTAAGGGAAGGAGCTGAGAGATGTATTTCAGAAATGTGTGCAGAAAAACTACAAAGTAACAAGCTGCAATTAGTAACTAAATGCATGCATAATTAAGTTAATTTAAATCTGTCAGTAGTAGACGATTTTTTGAAAAACACATCACAGAAAATGTAAACACAAATATTAATAGTAGGTTTTCTGTATGAAATGTGCCACTCTGGGGAGAAAAAAAAAACATTATGAATTTAGAACTGGGTGTGACCTCTCAAAAAAAAAAAAAACCGAACCGGAAAAAACGCCAGCGGAAGCCCCAACCACTCCCAGAGTGAGGATGTACTGGAGCTGTCACTTGTTCATGGTAGTGGCGAAATGCTCTATGGACTCAGGTTATGGGTAAAAGCTGGGTGTGGCAACATTGTTTTCCTGAAGTGCTGCTACTTCAGGCAAATTAGCACTGTCTTGCAATGTCATTCCAAAAAAAACTGAAACTTCCCGGTTAACTTGTAGGAACAGAACAACTGTTTGCTCAGAGACTACTGTCAATGTATCCACTGTGCCCCCAGTCTGCACACAGGTGTTCAAGGAGTTTACTCCCCACCTCATTATACTTTCACCAGTCTGCCTGTTGGACCGAAGAGGACAACAGTAATGATAGCACTTACCCTGAT